GCTGAGCGCGACGTTGCGGCGCAGCTCGGCGCGGCCGGGGACGGGCTCGCGGCACGCGGGGCACTCCTGGTCGCAGCGCCTCCACCAGTCCCGGACGCAGGCCCGGCAGAAGTTGTGGCCGCAGGGCAGCGTCACCGGGTCCTGGTAGAGCCCCAGGCAGATGGCGCAGGTCAGCCTGTCCTCCAGCAGCTGCGAGGCCATGGCGGCGGCGGCGGGAGCCACACCCCCGGAGAGCCGGGACTCTTAAAGGGGCCGGAAGCCCTGCGGGGCGGCGGGGAGGAGCTAGGTCCCGTCTCGGGAGAAGCGGGTGACAGTCCTTCTCAGAGGACCCACCCCAGCCGCGGCTCTCGGCAGCGCACCCAGTCCAGCCCTGCGACTCCCCATGGCCTCCCCACTCGTCTAGGCTCAGAGCCACTCCTGCCGGCCTCCTGCCACCCCAAGCTGGGAGTTGGGGTCCGGTTCTCTCTGGCCCTGACCCTGGGACCTCCATGCTGCTTCCCTAGGTTCTCAGTTCAGCAGCTCCTGAGCAGGGGATCTGGCCCGAGCCTCAAGAGACAAGACCCCCAAAGAGCCTCCGGTCTCCTCCGGGCTGAAGGCCATCACCTGAAAACCTACCACCACCACCTCCCTCCCAGGGGTTTCCGCGATTAAATGAGACAGTGCCCGCCCCGCGGGAGTGCCGGGCAGTAAGCGCAGGGGCTCACAGCTAGTACTCCGTAAGTGCTCTCTTCTGACCCGGGGACCCTGCTGCACTTTTTCCTTGAGCTGAGCTTCAGGCATTTGCCAAGTCAGGGTGTCAACAGTGAAGTGGATATTTGTGGTCACCAAGAGACAGACCAGTCCAGTGGTTTTTTTCAATACCCCCTTTAATGGAAACCGAAAGCACTCTTCAACTGCACTGGGAACCCCGTGTGGGCCCTCTGCTTTACAACACAAAGCAGCACTGTCTTGTGTGTTGTAAATAGGTGAAGTTGCCCGTTCTGGAAAAGGTGCACAGATCTCCTGCTTGGCTACAGTCTTTCTTTAGAGGTTAGAAATACCCTAACAACCAGGGAGGGTGCAGGGGCTTCCTAGGCCCAAGCAGGGCTGTGTGTGCCTAAGATCTGAAGCCTGAGAGGGCAGGAGCCTGCACCCTACAGCCAGTTAGGGGCCAACGCTCAATGGGCACATCTCTTTCCAGAGGCCTGCTTTTCTTCTGGACCTGTCTTCAGCCACTGGATCGCAGAGCCTCTGACACCCATAGGAGGCAGATGTGGGGGGTTACCCCCTGGGGTGGGGGGCAGCCCTCTTTCCACCCATGAAGCAATACAACTCCATGGTGGAGGGGGTGGGTCTGGCTGCTCCCAGAACACAGACCTAGACCAGCTATAGCAGAAATCATCTTTATTCATGCACCACCCCTGCCACCACCCCTGGAGAGAGCCTCTTCACGCCTAGGCCCTGGGCCTGCTGGGAGGGCAACAGAGGGGCTGCCTCAGACAGGGCCCCAAACCCCACAGCTTGGCCCCAGGGACCTGTGTGTTTATGGTTAACTTCCTGCAGAGCCTGATAGAGTGGCCTGAGAGGTCCAGCCCACCCTCTGAGGTGGGTGGCAGTCTGGCCACTTAGTAGATGCCATAGGTGGGTTCATGACTGTCTCTGTACCGGTCCAGGTAGCGAAGGGGCTGCCGGTGGGGGAAGCGTTTCTGCTTGGGGTGGTAAGGGGGTGGCCGCACAAACTCGAACACGGGCTCCCGCATGTCTGCAGGAAGAGTGAGGATGTGGATGGCAACTGTGGCTGGCCTGAGCCCCTGTCTTGTCCCCAGGCTGGGGCTACCCAGCCAGCCCACCTGAGGAATGGCTGACTCCCTGTAACCAGGGAGACCTACTGGTCAGGTTGGGAGAGGTCTGTGGGCTCAGACCAGCCACCTCCCCTCCTCCAGCCCACTGTGCTCCTACCTAAAAGCTGGTGGAAGGTGTGGGTGACCGAGTCGTCCCAGCGGCACTGGAAGAAGGCCAGGCCAGCTGGAGTCATGGCTTCCTGGTGTTTCTTGTAGAAATCGAAAGTGTGGAAGGTCCGCTGGGCAAGCTGGTAGCTGGAAGACGGGGGAATGTGAGAGTGGGGAAGGGATACTAGAACCCACAGCCCACCCCCGCCCCACAGGCAATCCTGAGGAGCCCCTTAGGGCCTGCCTAGCACAACTACTGTCTGCCAGCCTAAGGTCATGAGTTAAGAGAGAGGCAAAGAGGACTGAGCAAGACTGACCACTGCTGGGAAGCTGGCCTGAGGCTGGGGTAGGAGGTGTGGGGGCATGTGTGTGGGGTGTCGATTACCAGGGTGAGGGCCGAGTATCCCCAGAGAAGTCGATTGGCTTCTCCTGCTTGAAGAGCAGGAAGGCAAAGCGGTGGAAGCCAGAGCCCCGGGCAGGGAAAGGGGGCAGGTAGGGACACGTCTCCTGTCCTTCGGCCACCCTGTTGCCAGGGATGTTGGTTCTGGTAGGAGGAAGAGTAATCCGTTAATTGCCACTGGACAGAGGTGGCAGCAGGAGCATCCCCACCATGTACTCACTAGAGGCTGAAACAATTCCAGGGGACACAGACGCTAAAAGGATGTTTACTTTATGACTGAGTAGGAGGTGGAGCTCTGTGAACCTCAGGGGCTCAGAGGCAGAGGGCTCGGGTCCCAGAGACAGTCAGGGTGAGAGCAAAGCCAAGCAGCTTGTTTGCTACGCCCTGGGGAGCCGGTGGGGCTGCCACAGCCATGCAGGCTGGAGACTATGACACCTGAGCTGCTTTTCTCTCCATTTCCCAAAGCTCTGGGCTTTGTCAGTTTCTGCCCAACCTGGCACGGGGATGGCCACTGCACCCGCCTTGAAAGATAGCCCCAGAGGGTCCTGCTGCACAGGTTGGCAACTGCAGTTGAATAAAAATGACAGAAACCACCTCCCAATCACTGGCCTCGATTACCCAGAAGTCCCAAAGCTGCAGTCACCTGCTTGACTTCTGTCCCCTGGCCTGGTGCTCAGAGCCAAAAGCAACTGAGAAAAAAAAAAGGCAGGCCAACCTGAGCATATCACAGCTGCCAGAGGCCTTTCATGGTCCCTCTCCCATCTGGTTGTTACAGAGCCCCTCAGGGTGGTTAAGGAATGTGAGGCACCATCCTAGATTTACAGGTGATGAAATGAGTTCAGGGAGACCAGGAGGCCTGTAGCAGCAGCCGAGGTCCGCTGCCTGCTTTTCTTCTGTACCTGTCTTCAGCCACTGGATCATAAGGCCCCTGACACTCTCAGGAAGCAGAGGTGAGGGGCCACCTCCAGGGGAGGGAGGTTAACCCAAACTCCCATTGTTAATCCACGGTGGAGCCAAGGCTGAGTGTAGCTCTTCCCAGGATGCCAGGGCCTCCCCACATGCCTGACCCACTCTGACCCACTGCCCTGCCCCAGGTACTCACACCAGCCAGTGGACATACTCGGCATCTGGCTCTAGCAGGTGTCCATCTGCACATAAACAGACCACCGACTGAGGCCCATGAAAGGAGCTGGGGCTGGAGCTCTCCACCGGGCCCTTCCCTCAGCCCCCCAGGGCCCTGGCTCATGGGTGGTGAGGATGAGAGGCCCCGTGTACCCTAGACACCTACCCAAGTTGGTTAGTAGCAGTGTCCACATGGAGCCCTCCTCTGCCTCATAGGTCACCTGTGGTGCCTGGGCAGCCTGATAGGGAAAAAAAGAAGGAGCCGTCACCCCTACCAGGAACAGACAAGCTGTTATAAACAGACCTTCTTTCTGGAGAGCAGGAGTCTGAGGGAGCCCTGGAGAAGGGAGAGCCCACTCTGATCCAAACACCCTTGACAGCCCCTCTAGAGGCAGGCCAGCAAAGAGAAACTTATAGAAGGAACCATGCAGAGTTGCCTATCCCAAGAGCTGAACCACAGAAGGCCCACATGTCAATGAACAGGTGAGAAAGGCACTCTGAATACAGTGGGCCAGCCAAGATGGAGCTGCTTTTCTTTTCTTTTCTTTTTTGGTAATTATAATGGTGTTTACTAGGATATCAAAGAGATACTGAACAATAAAACTTTGGATCAGACCACGTAGATGCCACGCTTGTGCCCTTAACCACCATAAAAACCACCTCCAAAAATACTTTCAAAAAGGAACTGTTGCCCAGCTAGCATGGCTCAGCGGTTGAGCACTGACCTATGATCCAAGAGATCAAGGTTTGATTCCTGGTCAGGGTACAGGCCTGGGTTGCAGGCTCCATCCTTGGTGGTGGGGGTGGGCGCATGCGGGAGGTGGCTGATCAATGATAACGCTATCACACTGATGCTTCTCTCTCTCTAAAAATCAATTTTTTTAAAAAAAGGAATTGTCTGTGGCTCTGCATGTGTGGCCCTGTGGTCCTGCAGTGGGACATGTCTGTGCACACAGGGCAAGAAGGGGCACAACCAGCAGTTACCTCCATTGGAGTGACCTCATTGCCGTAGTACACAGGCATCAAGTCATCCTCACCCACGGTGTAGGCCACATGCAGGGGAACTCGGGGCACGAAGGTGGCACCATGGAACAGGTCTCGGTAGAGGCCATAGTACTCCGCCAGACGCTGCTTGTGGTAGGGGCCAGAGGTCCTCTCCCATTCAGCCTGCACAGCCTCCAGTGGAATGCACGCTGGGAAGGAATGATGCCATTTGGGAACCAGGGTGGGGGCAAGGACATGCCAGGGCCCTCTCCCCTGGGAGGCTTACCTGTGCGGAGGCGGGCAGCCCGCTCCTCCTCCACATTGGCCCTCAACTCCCGGAGGACCTGTTTCCGCTCCAGTAGCTGTTGGGTCCGACAGACCTTGGGTGGAGGCAGCCCAATGTCAATCTTGTCTTTGGGATCTAGGGAGGGAAGATGTGTTAGAGGAAGTGGGATCAATTCTTGGTAAAGCCACCTGTCCCTATCTAGTCCTCTCACTTGCCCAAGATCTGTTGCTAAAGCTTTCCCTTTAATTCACAAAACTAATACATACCGTGTAGTCTGCTTCACAGACCTGAACAGGGTCCAGTTGCTAAGCAGAATGGATAAGTTTGAGACTGCACTTTCTAGTTACCCTGTCTGTCTAGGACTAGGTCAAGGGAAATAGAGGCACATGTCTCCCAATTATGGTTGGGATCACCTTCAAGCCTGTTCACAGCCAGCCACAGATACACACCTGTGTCCTCAGCAGACTAGCTGAAGCTAAAACGACTTAAAAAAGCACTTCTTGCCCTGGCCAGTGTACTCAGTGGTTAGTGTCAGCCCACGCACTGAAGGATCTTGGGTTAGATTCCCGGTCAAGGGCAGGTACCTGGGTTGCAGGTTCGAACCTCAACCTGTCACAGCGAGTGCAGGAGGCAACCAATCGATGTCTCTCTCTCATATCCATGTTTTTCTCTGTCTCTTCCCCTCCTTTCCACTCTCTAAAAAAACCAATGGAAAAAATATCCACGGGTGGGGATTAACAAGAAAAAAAAACAAAATAAAACAAAAGAAGCACTTCTTATTTTAATGAACAAGCCATACAAGTCTCCTGGGAAATTGTTAAAATTCGGATTCTGATTCAGCAGGTCAGAGTGGGGCCTGAAACGGAATTTCTTTTTTCTTTTTTAAAAATTCTCACCCGAGAAATACTTTTTATTGATTTTAGAGGCAAGTGGGGGACAGAGGAAGGGGGGGGAGAAACGGGGAGGGGAAGATGGAAAGGAACATGGATTGGTTGTGCCCCGACCCGGGATTGAACCCCAAACCTGGGCATGTGCCACGACTGGGAATTGAACCCAAGGCTTTTCCCTGTACAGGATGATGCTCTAGCTGAGCTACACCAGCCAGGGCATGAAAACAGCTTTTCTAAGGAGCTCCTAGGTAATGCCTGTGCTGCTGGTCCCAAGACACACTTTGAGTAGCAAGGCCCTAGAGAACTTTTAACCCAACACCTTTTCCCATTTACACTAGACAATAACAATTAACACACTGAACCCTTCTTAAGGGTGGATTAGGTTAGGATTTCCAATGGGCTGTGTCCTTTAACACTCGCAATTCTGTGGCTTAGACGTAATTATTTGATTTTATAGTTGAAGAAACTGAAGCTCAGGGAAGTCCCTCCTAAGAGGCCGACCCGGGTTCCAAGCAGGGCTGTAGAGATTCCCCGCCCAAGCCCTTAACCACCAGAAACACTGCCTGGGAAAGGCTTTCCAAAAGGGCGCACTGGTAAGTTGCTCAGGGGCCGCGTTCCCCAGCCACCCTGCCCGGACCCTTCCATTTCTTTCCGCAGAGCACTGCACCCCACGCGGGGGCAAGGCCCCAGTGATGCTTAAGACGGCAGGGCCCGTCCTCAGGGGGCTCGCCCCCTGGGAGGCAGGCAGCGAAAGTAAAGTGCGCTGCGGGGCGGCAGGGCTCCCCGCCGGGTGTTCCAGGAGCACGGGGCGGCGCTGACTCGGAATGGGGGCGGTCAAGGTCTTCGCAGAAATATCTCAAGTGGAACTCTAATAGTGGGGGAGGGACTTTTCCAAGCAAGGGACCAACGGGTGTGAAAAATCCCGGTGGGACAAAGCCGCCGACAGGGAGCAGGCTGGCCCCTCCCCCCGGGCTCCCGGAGGCCGCCGGCGGGGCCCCGAGGCCCGCACCTGACTCCACCCCGAAATGCTCCCGGTAGGTCCGCCACCAGTGCGGGGCCCGTGCCTCCTGCTCCGCTCGGCGCCGGTAGCGGTCGAAGCTGCGGTACTTCTCCAGCCGCTCCAGGTTGCTCACGTCGATGTCCTCGTTGGGCATCGGCCCCAGAGGCGGGGTCCGGCGGCTCAGCGCGGCTGCGGGCAGACAGCGGGACGTCTCAGGCCGGCTGCGGCCCGGCCCCCTGGAGGCCGGGCGGGCGCAGGCTCGAGTCCCAGGGCTCGGGCTTAATGGGCACCACACCCCGAGACCCCTCACCCGACGTGCTGAAGCCCCGCCACCTCCGACTTCCGCCCAGTGCTGCTCGCCACATGGGCGCCGCCATCTTCCCTCAGGCCGGCGTTGCCCCGGCCTCT